CGCAAAGATAACCACCATGGATACATCTGCATACATTCTGTTCTGTAATAAATACTTACAGGCAGGTGTCTAGATGTGAACAGAATCCTAGGCAAAGTCACATGTAAACACACCACTAGGTGTCAAAGCTTCCGGGGCTGACACAAGAAAATGCGGTATAGGTACTTCATTATATTGAGAACAATATTTTAATTCTGCAACGAAGCAAAGTTTCATGACAAACACCTCGCTCAGAGCATAACATGACAATAACATGCGCTAAGTATACACGGCTTTACAGGGCACCTACCGGAGTTTAAACCAATGACTACGCGCTCACATCTGTGTGTATGCGGAGATGGGAACTCATACCAGGCATGGCGAGAGAACAGATTTAAAGAATGGGTCCACTAGAAGTTACACAGACTCATGACGGCTGTCCTCCTAAGAAGTGGTCCCTTTGAGGGGCTCTTGGAGTCCAAAGACTCACTCCAAGGAACATCTTAGGGGTTTGTTGTGTTGTTGTTTCTTGTTTAAAGCTAAAATGGTGTGACTTACCTTAATCACACATCTTTATTTATCCAACCGAGTGAATGACTCGGGATTTCTTCCAAACCTAAGTCCATCTTCAAAGGATGAAGCTTTCTATGTCTAAGGACACTGACATGAACACGCCAGTCCCAGAGCCATACCAACAGAGGGTTCGTTCACACCAAGTTCTCCTTGGGCAGCGCGGCCGTGACCAGGACAGAGCCTCCCAAAGGGCCGCCTTCTGAGGAGGGTGAGTGAGATGAAACACTTGCATCTTCTGGATTTTAAGAAGAGAAACCCGACACACCACCTTACAGTCAGACCTCACATGTGTGCACCTACATATACATGTGTCTTTATACATCATTACATGACTAAACAAGAGAAGGGGTTTCCACTTAAAGGAAGAGAAGGAAACTGCTCGTTGGTTCCGGAGGAAATCCACGTACTGAAAAGCTGACCTTTCCGTGCTCCCAGCGGATCAGCTTCTGGCAACTTCTTTTTTTTTTCTATTTTTTTTTTCCTGGCAACTTCTTAATTCCTCCGCCCATTTCCCATGGAGCCACATGTCAGAGGCAAACCCATTCCGCTCCTCACACTGAATGAAGATGCTTTAAACACACTGATGAACTAACCAGAAAGGAGAAAAGGAGACCAACATGTATATATAAAACATAGACCACAGCGGCCTCCGGTTTGGGGTGGGAAGAAGCCAACGGTGGGCTGGATGCTCTCTGGCTACTGACAGCCTTCACCAGTTCAGAACCCTGCGGGCTCCCGCTGGCCATGACCGTGTGCGCCTTCGCTCAGGAGCGCAAGGTCATTCGGAGGGCACAGTGCCGAGGCGCAGCAGGACTCTGGTTTTGGAAAACACACCTCCTTGCCCAGCGGAGCGCCCCATAGGATGTGCGCCAGCTCCCTGCCTGGACACCTTTTAAACCCCAAGGTATTCTTCACCTTCCTGGGAGCCCGGCCTCCCCTGACAGCTGTGCTCACATTGGGCTCAAAATGCTGCTGCCCGGGGAGAGCTCGTCAGTCCAGCAGCACTCGCTGTGTAAAGGCCACTGCATCGTGAGGGCCCAGGTGGCTGAGGGTAAAGCAGGGGAGAACCAATCGGTCTCTGGAAGGTGGGCTTCTCTGCAGGGGGCGCCCTGACAGCCTCTCCCCTGAGCAACAGAACCTCGAGCTGTTCCTGTTCACAACTCATCTGGAGCCACCGCCTGGATATCCGAACCATGCCCCGTGCAGTCAGGTGCACCCAGGAGCCCAGAGCGCAAGCCAGCAGGGCTGCAGAGGGGAGGCCCGGCTGCTCTGGGTCTCCAGGCAGAGCCCCGTCGTGCATGCCTGCTTGGAACGGCTGAACTCAACACCGTCGTTAGCCAACACCGAGAGGAAAAAATGCACATGCCCTGAAGTTAGCTGCTGGAATCCGGCCGCACCGCCTAGTCCGTGCAGCACCCCCGGCGGCACACAGAAGCTGCCACCCACGTTCAAGGAGGAAGCAGAATTGCTCTGCACGTCTTCGCACAAAGTCAAAGCCTTGCCCTTCCTGCGATAGGCCTGCGAGCTCCATAATCAGACCCTGCCGGGAACACCCACCAAGTCCAGACCCTGCGCAATGCACACGTGCTTCTCAGGTGAATGTGTAGCCACGCTTATAACGGGACACAAAGAGCTCCATCTATGCCTGGGGTTTATGGGCAATGCTAGGTGCTCTGGGCCCACTCCTGTTTCTTTCTTTCTTTTTTTTTAAATCCTCACCCAAGGATATTTTTCCATTGATTTTTAGGGAGAGTAGAAGAGAGAAGGAAAGACAGTGAGAAACACTGATGTGAGAGAAACACACCCATTGGTTGCCTCCTGCATGAGCCCCGACCAGGGCCCGGGCCGGGGAGGAGCCTGCAACCAAGGTACATGCCCTTGACAGGAATCAAACTAATCAAACTCGGGACCCTTTGGTCACCAGGCTGAAGCTCTACCCACTGAGCAAACCAGCTAGGACCCTGGTCCTGTTACTTAGCTCCTGAGAGTGGGGCAGCTGCGTGTATCCACACACACACACACACACACATGCACACACACGCACACACATGCACATCACAGACGTGGGGGAGAGCAGGCCAAGATGTGGCACCAAAGGACAGTAATTATCCCTCCATCAGACGCAGTCCAGCCTGTGACGAAGGCACAGCTCCTCTCCACATTCATGGTTCAGATCCGGGTAATCCTGGCTGTGAGGCTCTGGGAAGGGACTCAGCCTCCCTGACGCCCCGTTTCCTCCTGTGAAATAAGGAGAATAAACGTGGCCCTGCTCCCGGGTGGCCTGGGGACTCACTGAAAGGAATTGCCATGGCGCCAGCGTACAGTCAGCACTAAAAACCAGAGATGCTATTATTCCTTCTGAAAAATCAAATGATAACATATTGCAAACTGCCCAGAACATAGAGTGGGTGCTGAGGACAAGCACGCAAGCATGGCTTCAAGCGGGTTACGGAGATGAGGTGTCAGGGATGCTGGCCTGGCAGGAAATCTCTCATAAAAGAGATCTTAAAGCTATAGGTCCCTTTTGTTAGGGAAGTCTTGGCAGGTTAGAAAACAGATCCACAAAGACCACAGTGCAATGGAACGTGGTGATGTCCCTGCTTGCATTCTGACAATAACATGAGGGCATGTGTGCCAGTTGGTGCCGGGGGTGCCAGTGAGGTGTGTTAGAGCACGGAGACCAGGTCTGGGGGAAACTGGGCTGTGGCTCTCACCCTCACCCACTTCCAGGGGAGCTGCCCGAGTTTGGGGTAGCCCAGACATGGGTGGGGATGGGGCTGGCCGAGGCGACTTGCCTTCCTATCTCTAGATACTTTCTCTCCTTCCTGGTGCATCCCAACATTAATCAGGCATCAAAATGTCCTTAAGAGAGTCAGTTGCCATCTACTGACCCTCATCACCCACAAAAAGTGATGAGAACAGAGACTGGAATGGGGACCCTCTGCCCCATGCACAGCAACCCTTTCCTCACTACGGGGCCTCCGCGCCTTCTCCTCACACGCCAGGGCATTTGGGGAGCTCCTTGCCCCGGGCCGCTGTGGCTGCCCCGGCTGCACAATATTCAGCGACGCTTAACCAGGGACGAAGGAGGCGGCGGGACGCGCAAGCTCAGGGCCCAGGCAGAGCAGCTGGGAGGGCAAAGCACTGGTTTCCTCCCTCCCCTCTGGCCTACACTTGTCATCCTTCAACCTCCTTAATTTGGGGAGGCTGTACCTCCACCCAGGTTACACTCTAAAAACCAACCCTCAAGTAAGCCAGCCAAGCAACATTTCCTGAGCAGGGCTGCCTCCAGGCTTCACTGAGGTGGTCTCAAGCCGGGGCCTCCCTCTCTTTCCTGAAGTGAGCATGAGGCGCGTGGCCTGGAATAACAGCGTCCCGCCGCCGATGCGGACGTGGAGGGCGGAGGGAGAACGGGAGAACGGTCTCAGGGCTGGAGCAGCTGCTCCTCTGTTCTGACCCAGCACCTCCTGGATCTGGGAGGAAAGCCTCCCGTCTGAGGGGTGAGATGGAGACCGTCACACACAGGGACATGGGCCCCCGCCTCCCCCCCTCCTGGCTCTTTAACATGATAGTCCTGTCTTTCATGTTAAAAAGACAGACCTAAAAAATCAGACCAAGCTGTAGGTTGCCAAGCAAGTTCATGGCAGAGTGGAGAGTGCTCAGGAGCCACAGGTCCGAGAAAGGGGACAGGGTACCCGCACAGGGCGGTCCCAGAGGCCACCGAGTCCAGGGCCATTCGTTTCCTGGCGTCCCGTCCTGAAAGCCTTACCCCGCAGAGCCAAGGGGTGGGAACGCCAAGCTCCGTGCAAGAGTTGACGTGAGGGAGAAAAAAGCCAGGGCCACACTCCTCATCCTCACACAGCGGTCACACTGGCCCTGGGCCTCCCGCCTCGCCAAAGCTCACCTAGTGCACAGTCAGAAAGGCAGTAGCAGCTGCGGAGGAGGCAGCAGCCAGGAGGCCAGCCTAGGGCTCTGTCCCGCTGGCCACTGCGAAACACAGCAGGAATGCTGACCGTTCAGACACCGCTCTCGTGAATCCCAGACCTACTCTGCCACGTTTCACTTAAAAAAGAAGAAGAAGAAAAAAAAGAATAAAATGAAAGAAAATGAAGCAAAGACAGAGAAGTCAGGGAAGTCGGGGAGGATGAGCACCAAGATCAAAACGCTCCCATTCTGTTCAGAAAACACTGCCTCAAGTCCAGACAAGCTAGGAAGCCCCACCATCTCCTGCAAAACCCAAACCAAGCCGGTCATTAGCCGAGGCCCGGAAGGTGGCCCCTCCACATTTCATCTCATCGTCACAGCCACACACATTCACAGGACACCCCCGGGGGGCACAGGTGGTATTTCATTACACCCAGAGGGGCTCCCAGAGACTTCTAGGAGGTTCTTAAACAAACAGATGCTAGAGGGCAACGAGAAGGGGGGTATTCCAAGGAAGATTCCGGTTCAGGTTTACGTGTTTATAACCAGAAAATGGGTGTACACAGACCCTCCCCATGAGATACATTTTCTGTACATTGGAAAATTCCATTTCCTATTTCTTCTTTGTTTCCAAACCTACATGCATCGTCTCTCTGCCACCATAGGCAATAAAAATCCATAGCGTCCACTCCATCTTCATTCGTGTAGGTCTCCTAGTTTTTGTTTTTTAAAAAAAACATTTATAAAAAGTGTTCTTACGAATCTGAAATCTTTATCAGTTCCAATCATTCCTGGTTTCCCATCGACCACCTTCTCGATCGCTCTTCTTGCTCGTGCCGCTCCCTTGGCCGTGCTCCTCCTCCGCTTGTCACTGTCCCGGCACGACGTTCCTCAGGGACCCAGCGCTAGATGAGGACCTCCATCATCTCCGCGTCCGGGAACTCGGGCTTGTGCAGCAGGCTGCTGGCGCGGCCTTTGTGGTCAGGCGACTTCCCGTGGCCAGGAGAGTTCTCTGCCAAACACAAGGGAAGTGTTAGCAGCCCGCTCCTTGGGGGAGGGCCGGGCCGCACCGGTGTCTCTGTGGAACCCTTTCAGACACCACCCTCGCCCCCAGTGCCTGCAGGCAAGGCCTGGAAGTCCGGCCCACGTGGGGCAGGCACTACTCACACATCCCTGTCTTCCTCAGAAAAGTGCATTCCAGGAATTAAATCTCAGAACAATGGCAATGCTGGACGTACTTGTCTATTTTGTAGGATGAACAGTTCATTTATGCCCCAAATAACCCCACACTTTCTCAAAAGCATTCCTGAAGAGACCCATCCCCATGACTGAGATGAGTCCCCGTGACAAAGCCAAGTCTACTCTTTCCCGGACGCTTCTGGACTCGTTGCAAGCTCACTCCTCCCAAGCCGTCTTCTCTTAAGTGTTTTCGGGTGACCCATTAGCACCAGCCTGAGTGCAGTGCCAGAGTTCCCCTCCTCTGCAGTTAAACCTGCCTTGTCCTTCAGGAAAGAGGCACCCCGACCCCAAATCCTGAATGAGTAAGGCCTCGTCCAGGTACCCAAGCCTCGGAGGTACCTGGTGCCTGGTACTGCCGCCCCCCACCCCCCATCCCTTGGAGCATGTCTATTTCTGCCCCTTGTAGGAAAGGGCTGGTTACAAAGCACGGTAATAAATTAGGAGTGTCGACACACACATTGCATTCCCTAAGAGCGCACAGCCTAGGTGTATTAGGGTAACCATAATCATAAAAAACACCCACAAAGTGAGAGCTGCCCCCTCCCCAGCTCAACAAAGACTCCCTCTCTCAGGCCAGAGAGCTCCAGGGTGTTTCCCTACAGCGTAACACATCAGAACATCTTACCCAGTTTCTCTGCAGTCCCTTTGGCCGCTGGGTGTTTCAGGACCGGGCTGTTGGAAGGGGTCGCACTCAGCCGGCCGCGGGTGGGCAAGGAGGCCATGTTGGGCCAGAAGAGTTCGGTGCTCTTGTCCGTCTGGGTGCTGCTGTCTTTGCTGCCCGTCTTGGCGTGGGCGCTGCTGGCCGACGTGGCGGACACTGTTGGGGCCGATGCTGTGGCAGGCGGGGCAGGCAGTGCGGGGGTGGAGGCGTGCTCATGGTGCTCCTTCCCCAGCAGCAGCCCTGAGGACGGAAGGACAGCTTTTCAATGCTGTTCTTTAATACAAACCAAATCCCTCCTCTCGGGGATCATTTTCTTCTTGACTCAGGACTCACCCAATGCACTTATAAGCACTGACTATGTGCCTGACCAGTTGAGAAGCACTGAGGAAATTTAACAACAGAAAAGACCTAGTCCCCTCCCTAAAAACCTATGTTTTTAAGGAGTTGCAAAGCAAACTGGTTATAATCTAATATGATAAACAGTAGGATAAAATGACTCTAGAGTGGCATGAGGTACCCAGTAGCCAGTGTTGAGGGTGGGGGATTCCTGCAAGGCTGTCTGGAGTTGACGCTTGCTTCGCCTCACGCAGGGCCAGGGAGGGCTGGCCTTGAGTCGTGGTTGTGTGCTTTAGAAAAACGGAGTCCTAGGCATGGCCCCACTGGCCTGCTGTGCTTCTGAACGGCCCACAGTTCCACCCCAGTCTTGGCACTGGAAGGTCTCCCGCAGCACCGGGGGTCAAATACAACCTTGTTTCCAGGTCAGACCGACACCCAGGAGACCCAGCAGCTGGGAGCCACGGCCCCGAGAAGCAGGAAGCCAGCCGGGCCCTGGGAAGAGCCACTCGGCTGCTTCTTGTTCCACTTCTCGCGGGGGCCCCGGGGTAGGCAGGCTGGGGGCAGGAGTGAGGAAGTGCTGGAGGGAAAAGGCAGGCATGGTGGGCAGTGCTTTCCCTCCTCCTCAACGTCTCCCTGCAGTGCTGGGCAGGACAGCTACGTTTTTATTTAAATAATGAAACACGGCACACATTCAGAAACGTGCCAGCACTCCCGAACACTAGCCTATAGAATGCGGTCAGCACAGTCAACTGCTTGTTCACGCAGCCGAACCAGCCAGCAATTCATACAGTGTCCTCCCCAGGGCTGTCGGAGGTGCCATTCACAGAAACACAGAGCAGCTCAGTGTGCCCAGCTGCGTCCTCCAACGGAACGTGCCTCTTGGTGGCTTGGATGTGTTGTTAAAAGAGGATTCCATTCAGCGGGTGGGGCCTGAGGCTGCTTCTCTAACAAGCTCCCAGGCGAGGCCGGTGATGCGGGTCCACCGGCCACACTCGGAGAGGCCGGGGACTTCGTACATGTCACCTCCCTTCGTATGTCACAGGTAGGCCCCGTGTTAGCCTCTGCTTTCCGGACATGGAAACGGAAGCTCAGAGAAGTGAGCATCTCATAGCTAAGGCGGCGCAGAAATGGGATTCAAGCCCAGCTGTGCCCAGCTCTACCCCAACCTGTGTTCCTCCCTCCTAACCAGCTGCAGGCTGACAGGGACGCTCTCGTGGAACTAGGTCACTGGCCAGTCATCTCACCCGGAGCCCTCGCCATCAGCAGGCGTACACTGTCACCCCCACCCCTCTTCCTGTTGGGCAAGAGGTGGTGGAAGCAGCGTGGGGACTGTGCAGAGGCCGTGTCTGCTGCCTCTGCCCCGCCTCTCAGAGAGCCTCTCTGGTTTTGTGACGCGTGGACACCAATGACGATGGCAATAATGGGAGGAACACAGTGCAGAGAACACAGCAATTCTTCCTGCAGACCGGGTCCTCTCCCAGGCCTGGTGTAGACCTGCAGATGCCAGGGACACAGGCACAGAGACCAGAGAAACGCCTGTCTGGCTGCATGTTGCAAACGGGCCTGGGTACCAACTCTCAGGCTCCCTAACTGTGTGGGGAGCTAAGTGTCCTGTGGGGGGTGGGGGGGGGGGCGGGGGGGCGCCTTTGATGATCCCAGCTGCTGTCCACCCGCATCCTCTTTGAAGTGCTGTCCTCAGAGCGCAGGGGCTGCTGAGGCCACCTGTGGAGGCACTTCACTCGGAGATTCTGGCTGGGAGCCTTGAACCCCTGACTCTGGCAGGTTCATACTGGAAGCTCTTATCCCCTCTGGCACAAAACAGCCAGGCTCCTCTGGGGTTCTGTGCTGACAAAAACTGGCTCTCGACTCCACAGATAAAGAAAACACACTCTGACCCAGGGAAATGCATCAAAGGAGGCCAGACCCTGCAGCTGCCAGAGTGCAGGGTGGGGGGGGGGGCGGGGGGAGGCGAGGCGAGCGGGTGAAGGGGAAGACGTGTGTCTGGGAATGCTGCCTGCTTCCTCTCCAGACCCAGCGAGCCGTCGACAGGCTGGCCCTCTCCCCAGGAAGCCCATTCGTGGCTAACACCACATCTGCAGAATTCTCAAAACTCTGCCCATGCAACCAGCACCACAACCATGCAACCAGCACCACAACCACCAGCCTCTCATGCTGGCACACTTCCTCCGAAGCGCCTCTGCCCCGTTATCTCATTTCGCTCTCCCCACGGCCCAGGGGCAACAGGACAGGCACTGCCCTGCTTTTCCAGGCGCAGAAGCAGAGGCAGAGCTGTCTGACAAGTGGTCGGGGGCAGAGCCAAGTTCAGAGGCCTGACGTCTATGGGCTTTTCCATTTTATGCTGTGAGGGTCGGGCACTTCCACTTTCAACCGTGATGATAAGTACATGAGTCAACCCACATGGCCAGTAGCCAATCTGGTGGTATAGCCGCTGCCTCCACATCGCTCATTCAGTTTTCACAGCCCAAGTATGATTGGTTATCCTCCCCATTTCACAGATGAGTAAACTGAGACTTGGGAATACTCAGCGACATTTCTGTGTCCCATGAGGGGCAGAAGCCAGACACTACAAAAGTGTCAGGACTTTTTCCACCAGATGAGGTTGCCTCTCAAAGCTGGTATAGCTCTTGCCTTCCAGACCCTAGACCCCAGCCGGACGGAGGCGTGGGGCTCACCTATGCTCCCCTTCCAGGTCCTCTCTTCCTTCTTCTCCTCCGCTAACTGGCTGCTGGTCAGAGAGGTCTGGCGGGAGTGTGTCCCGGTGGCCGCGGCAATGGAAGGGACGGAGCGGGCGGGCCGCAGGCTCGAGGAGTCTGCCTTCCCGGGATCTTTGCGGGATCGCTGCTGAAGGACCTTAATCATGGCATCCCTCTCGATGATCTTGGCATGGAGATTTTTAATGCTGAATAACAAGACAAAACAAAACAAAACAAGTCATAATCACACTCCATTTGGCTGGGAAAACACGAAACGTTTTTCAGGTTGCCCAGGGACTTGAATTAGAATTCAGGATGGAGAATGAAGCGCAGTAAAGTCTTCAAACATTTCCTATCTGCCAAGTGTATAAGCTGGATCTTTGGTAGTAGATCAGAGGGGTGCACCTCCTCTGGCCCCTGGGGAGCCCCTGGGACTTGCTGGGAACCAGAGGACATAGGTGAGAAAGGCGTGGCCTTCCAGCAGCGGCTCAGAGGCCCGCTCGGAGGGCCTGGGTCCCTGGCTGTGGGTGGGAGAGCAGCAGGAAGCCTCTCTCAGGGCCAGCCTTCCACGGAGGGCAGTTTCCCTATTTTCTCAGAAAGACAGAAGAAGAACAGGTTTTCTGGGAGAAGTTAATTTCCCCCACAAAGGCCAAAAATGAGAATCAGAAAACACTCGAGCTCCTTTCAAACTTGGAGAATAACTCGCCGCGCCTGCCAGCTGTTCAGAGCAGGGGCTGGGGCTGGAGTGTGAGCCCAAATGCGGGCCCGGGGGTCGTGAGGTGCGTGGCCAGGGGGGAGCGCGGTGTCACGGCCGCGCACGCGGCTGTCCTTACGTGTACTCCATGTCCTGACACCTCCTGGCGGCCTGCACCACCTCCTCCTCCTCCTGCCAGATGTGGGCCTCCAGCGAGGCCTCCCCGTAGCTGCCGTTCCGCGAGTGGTTGATGATCGTGGTGTCCCTGGCAACACAGGACACACGGAGGGTGATGCGAACGCTCACAGAGAGGCGTGCGAGGTCACTGCACTAAACATCTCTCTCCACACACTCCTTCCCCCGCTTTCCCTCCTGGATCCCGGCCCATTCGCTCCCTCAACTTGGTAGAATGAAGACAGTATCTAAGGAAAACAAAATAAAATCCCACAGTAACGATTCCCTGCCCTCTACCAGCACCACCGTGTATCACGCTATGTGGCAGCTATGACGATGGACGCTGCACCTGCTGACACGTGGATACCATTATTACAGTTGGTAGGGTCTCCCTTTCACACTTATCCTTTCTGACTTTCTCAATCGGAGTTGAAGTTTTATGGCTGCTCCTTACCCACACAGCAGCTATTTCAGTATTTCACAGTAAAATGGAGACTCAGTAAATACTTAAAGCGGATACTGGTCCCCTTGGACAGAGAGACTCACACTGAAAGCTCCCATCCTGCTTGCTTTCTGGCTCGCTTCTCGTTGCATGGGCCCCTGCCTGGGACTCAGGTCCACTCGGCGTGACAGCCACGCCGGCAGCACAGCAGAGAGATGAAGACACACAAGACACCCTGTCCTTGGAGAGTGCAGCGCAGGGTGGAGGACGGGAGGGACAGACACGGGGAGATTAAAATGTGGAGCTGCAAGCAGGTGTCTGTTGGAAAACTGGTCAAAGAGAACTCTTCCTGCCGCTGGTTTTGGCAATTTGACCGCTCCTAGTTAACGACGGCTGGTAAGAATAGGATCACTGTGCCCTGGCCGGGTGGCTCAGTTGGTCAGAGTATCATCCCGATACACTCAGGTTGCGGGTTTGATCCCCAGTCAGGGTATATGCAAAAATCAACCAATGAGCCCAGCTTGCAAAGGCTTTTGCAGAATCGCACATCTGTAGGCAGCAAGAGCTGGGGAAGTCCTGCATGTGGGGTCCCGCCTCCCTATGCCATGCTCTTGCCATTAAAAACCACAGGGCATCACCGAGAGCCATGCCCCAGACCAAAGTTGGCAAAGAAGCCAAGCCCCTTTGTAACTCTAGGATGGTTTGTTCTCTTCCACAGGATAGAGAGGTGATTTACTAATTACCTTACAGAGCAAAAAGCTGAAAAGAAAAACATCCCAACTGTGTAACCATCAAGAAATACTTCCAAGAGTGTCAATGTTCCCACCCAGACGGACCAAAGACTGAACTGGGGGCTGCAACCCCCTCCCCCCTCGCATCACGACCGCAGCTTCGACACAGCACACGTCTCAAATGTCCATCCCCACCCCCGGGGGCTCGCTTGGATGGGGTTCTGTGGGCTGTTTCCCCTCAGAGCACAGACCTGCATGAACAACACTCGGGCACTAGGAACTGATTCCCAAGTGGCCATGTCCCCCATGAATCTGCAGGTCTCCCCAGACGCGAGTGTGCCATGGCGCCCGGCAGAGGCATCGATGCCCCCATGGGTGGCACTGCTCTCCGCCCAGTCCTGGAGGCATCAGGTGAGCATGCTGCTGGCGGGTCTCCTCTACTTGAGGATGAACACGAGAGCCCATGGGCGGCTTACGAAGTACCCCCTCTGCCCCAGTGGGCCTCCTCTTCTTCAGCAGAGAAGAAATAACACATCCCAAAGAAACGTGGGGCTGACCAGCCCAATATTATGGATGCACCTTTGAAACCCGAGGATGGCCTCCAACTACACCCATGGTCGGCAAACTGCGGCTCGCGAGCCACATGCGGCTTTTTGGCCCCTTGAGTGCGGCTCTTCCTAAGCCTTAGGAGTACCCTAATTAAGTTAATAACAGTGTACCTACCTATATAGTTTAAGTTGAAAAAATTTCAACTCTCAAAAGAAATTTCAATCGTTGTACTGTTGATATTTGGCTCTGTTGACTAATGAGTTTGCCAACCACTGAACTAGACTAATCCTAAATTTTAGTGAATTCCAAACAACTCCGAATGAAATGTAACTTACTGGCAAAGGGCAAAGTGGTGGGAGACGGGGTGAGGGAGCGAGAGAGAGAGAGAGAGAGAGAGAGAGAGAGAGAGGACTGGGAGAATGCGCGGCCGCCCCAGCGGTGTGGCGATCACGCGTGCAGGTGAGCGCCGGCGATCAAGGAGCTACCTGCTCACCCAGACAGCAGGAGTTTCACAGAATTATTCTGTCAATTATTGAACATTTTGAGCCGATTTTGAAAGAAGAATAAGGTTGTGCACTACAGAAAGGAAAGAAGGCAACAGAGGTCATAACAGACGGCGGCAGAAATCAACTGCCAGCCAAGTGGAATCAGGCTTGAAGGCAGACAGGTCTCCCTTCCCACGTGGCCCCACCACTTACGAGCAGTGCGACTCGGAATAAACCGCCGCACCTCCCTAGCCCCATTTCTTCACCTGCAAACGAGGGTAATAACAGTTCCTCCTTTCAGGGCTGTTAGGAGAATGAACTCTTCTTGTCGGGCCTGTCACACACCCGCTGCTGAAATAAACTCTCCCAACATCACACTTGAAGACCGAATAGTAGCCCTGGGCGGTTTGGCTCAGTGGATAGAGCATCGGCCTGCGGACTGAAAGGTCGCAGGTTCGATACCGGTCAAGGGCATGTACTTTGGTTGCAGGCACATCCCCAGTAGGAGGTGTGCAGGAGGCAGCTGATCGATGTTTCTCTCTCATCGATGTTTCTAACTCTCTATCCCTCTCCCTTCCTCTCTGTATGTATTAAAAAAAAAAAGACCGAATAGCATCCGCTGTGTGAATGCACTTTACCTAGTGGAGTGAAGTCCCGTGGGACCCCAGGCTGGCCTCACCTCTCAGCTGCGGCGGTGGCTGCGGCGTTCATGGCAAAGTGCCGGATGGTGCTCTCTTCCAGATACTTCTGCTCCCACTTGGTCATGTCGGCCTCCAGCGCCAGGATCCGCTCCTCCTTCTCCCTCACAAGTTCCATGAGGGCCGGGGCATTGTATTCCAGCATGCTGGCTGGCGGGCCGTTTCCATGTTTCTAGAAAAGCAGAGAGAGAACATCTTGATGCGAAACGGGGGCTATAACGCAGACCACGTGAACCGTGTCTGCAGTTGCCCGCGTGGAGCACAGAGTTCACCCAGAGCCCCAGCACGTTCACACACCTTACCATCCCACTCTCGCTCCCTCTCCAGGAGGGATGACCAACCTTCGCAGATCCTAACACCAGGCTATCTCACCTACCAAATTCCTGCCTCAATGAATTGTCATGTAACTTTATCGTATAAATAGACAATATTATCCCAATTTTACAGAGGAGAAAACTAAGCTTCAGAGAGGCTAGATGAACTGTTCCATGTCTCTGAGCGAGGGTCAGGATTCAAACCCACGTCTGTCGGTCCATACGGTTCTGCATGACAAGAAGTGTCTTGTCCAACGTCCTGCAGCTCATTTATACCAAAAGCAAGAGCCTCCTGGTCTGGGGCACTTTCTGCCGAGTTCTCAGAAGTGATTCCAAGTGTTTGTCTTCCCCGAGGCTGGGAGATAAAACGGAGAGGCCCAGGAACTGGGAGCGAGAAGCCCTGACACGCGTACTCTCCCGGCTACAGAGCTCTCGTCTGGGAAACAAATGAATACCTGCCCCACTTAGAAGCCTGAGAGTCAAACAAGATAATGCACATGAGAGCATTTAATAAACTTTAAAGGGCTAAACAAAGTAAGGAGCTGCCAGAAAGTCTGTGATGCAAGCTCAGCCCGTTCTTGTCACCCGGGTCTGTAAGACAAGGAATAAAGCGGATGTCTTATCTGGATGCTCACAGAGGAGAATATTCACGTTTCAGATTTTTTTCCCATTGAACTCAGGCATCCTATTTCCTCTAAGCAGCACGACTTGGAGGACGATGGGGTCTGAGGAGGTTCTGACTTCAGGGACAATGACTTCATCCCAGCTATTCCACATCCCCTCCGGTTTACCCAGGGGTCACACATTGCACATGCAGAGCTGGCTGCAAGGTGAGAGAGGCACTCTGAACCACACACAAGCTCGAGCCGCCCTGATGGAGTCTCATCCTACCAGAGAAAGAAGAGCAATGGGCCCACGGGCTTTTGTAAACCGTATGTTTGTGTTCAATTTTTTAAAGCTACAAATACCAACTATTCTAGGATCTTGCCAGTGACTAACATTTAATCAGGAACAGAGCGAAGGCATGCACCTGTCCTCATCCACCTGCACAGGAAGTCACGGACTCTGGAGCCAGCACCTGGACATCAGGTCCAGCAACACAAGAGCTCCCTTGTTCTCAGAAACGGTCCAAGAAAAAGATCCCACAGCCTCGCTCAGCTGCCTCCCCGCTGGTCAGTTTCTCTCTGAATCCTAAGGTTCCCATCTCAGCTGGTTTATTCATTTTGACCTCACATGAGTCTTCATAGAGCACCTAATTCAGGCCATTAAGACTTATTAAATAAAAGCATGAGTTTCAACACTCAAGCATAGCACAGTCTAACAGGCAAGCACGCCGGCCAGGACAACGGGCCGACGGTCAGGCAGGCCAGCTTCTGCTGCCCATTCAGTTGACCATCAAATATTTACTGAGCACGTACTAGTACACCATGTGCTGGGAATACCACAGTGAACACATTTCTGTCACCCTTTCCAGTGGGACTGGAAAAGCTGGAGTAAGGGAGGGATGTGGGTGAGGGTGCCAGGATGCCCAGGCCTTGCACATACTCTGAAGGTCATGATGATAAAACAGCAACGACAGCTATTCTTTCTCAATGAGTTGCTCAGTGCCGGGCACTGTGCGGATTTTCTTATCTGAGGTTATACGTGTAAGGTCAGCATAACGTATTGGCCCCATTTTAGAGACAAGAAAGTTGAGGCTCAGACAGCTCACTTACCCAAGGGCACTTTCCTAGTAGGAGGAGCAGGCAGGAGTCACCCACCTTGGTCAGTCTAACCCTGGAGTCATCCTGTGAATCAGTTCATGACTCCATGCCGCTCTGTCACCTCCAGTCTACCTATTGTTGGGAAGGTTCCAGGGCACCTCTCAAGATTAACCCCGGCTCATGTGGGGGCTCTGTGTTGTTAAGGATGTGGGTGGAGAAGTTCGGCTGTGTCCTGGCATCAGTCTAAAAGGCAGTGGTTCTCAACCCTGGCTGCACATTAGAATCACACCTGGGAATCTTTTTAAAATCCTGATTTCTGGGCCTCATCCTCCGGAAATTCTGTTTCTTTGTTACTAATGTTGTGGCCCCCCCCCCATAACAAAGAAAACAGAATTTCCGGAGGATGAGGCCCAGAAATCAGGATTTTAAGAAGATTCCCAGGTGTGATTCTAATGTGCAGCCAAGGTTGAGAACCACTGGTCTAAGGGCAGAGCCCCTGTGCGGGTCTTGATTTAATAAGTTCTCTGAGCTACTCTCTCAACAGTCCCTTCAGAATAACGCTCTATGGGGAGTGGCTTTGTTGAGGGGGGATATGACCAGGAGCTCTGTTATCATGTGACCTCAGTGTGACCTTCCTACAAAGGTCAGATAAATGCCTCTGCAGCTCAGGAGTGAGGAGCGGGGTGCAGGTGGGCTGGTCACGTCCAGGCAAGCATATGCATGAGCCGCTGCAGTGTGAATGAGGAGGAAGCTGATCAGCGAGGCCCCTGGGTGCCTTTCCCAGAAAGGCCGAGTTTCTCCGGGGACCCCAGGCTCTGGAGTGGACTAGAGTGGACTTCAGGCATCCCTGCTGAGAGCCAGCAGGCCTGCACTCACCACACTGTCCACGGGCTCCAGGCAGGAGTCTGACCGAACTTTGTAGTATACTAGAGGCCTGGTGCACGAAATTCGTGCACTGGGGAGGGAGTCCCTCAGTCCGGCCTGCACCCTCTCGCAGTCTGGGACCCCTTGGGGGACATCCATCTTGTAGTCCGGGATCCCTCGCTCCTTACCGCTTGGCTCGCTGCTCCTTAGCGCTCTGCAGAGGCAGGAGAGGCTCCCACCACCACCACTGCGCTTGCCAGCCATGAGCTCAGCTTCTGGCTGAGCAGTGCTCCCCCTGTGGGAGTGCACTGACCACGAGGGTCAGCTCCTGCATTGAGCATCTGCCCTCTGGTGGTCAGTGAGCATCATAGTGACTGGTTGTTCCGGTCATTCCACCATAATAGTCGCTTAGGCTTTTATTATATAGATTCCACATGGAACTAGCTAGAAACTCAAGGTTTTGGGCTGAATTTATGTGTAATAAAATTTTTACCTTTTTTGGTTATAGAATAATGTATGCTCACTGACAAAATGATAGAATACAGAGGTATTCAAGGAAAAAAGAAAAAAATAATACTCATCTTTTTAATGAGGAAGTAAAACAACAAGGAAACTTATAAGAGATGGATCAACACGCTCATGAAAAGAAACAGATATTATTTTCAAAGTAATGCTGAGATAAACAAAGTTCTGTTTAGCTCTATATAGATCATCTCCCCTCTTTTTGGTCTCATATCAGCCATAACCTGCAGGGGGTCTGCTGTCAGTCCCCCAGACTAGATCCAAAATGCAAGCCAAGTAATTTTCCTGGAGAGCCTCATTATGAAACCTCTGTCTCCCCTCCCCCTCCCCCAGGTACTCCCAGATTTGCCAGCAGCCTTTAGGCATGGCAGGGACTCGTGTCTGCCCGTCTGAGGAAGCAATGGGCGTGAGGGTGCATGGCTCTGAGCGTGCACACTGTGAACGGTCCTCTGTGGCAAGGGATATTTTTAAGATCATTCTAACCTCACATTTCTCCTGGGTACACAGCAAGGATAATGGGGTTGAGTCTGGCTTCACAGCATTCAAAATAGAAGGTCCCAGGATAAGTCACCTAACCGTAGGGGCTGGGGACACAGGAACTGGAAACAAACATTCTCTGCAGCGCTGAGTTTTGAGATCTGCCCGTTTTGCCAGCCAAGGGTTCGTGCGGCTCACCGGTGCCAGCTTACGAGAAGCCGGCCCTCCGGGGGGAGGCTCAGACCTCAGTAACTGCACATGGGGAACAGCTGGAGGGTGGCCCACAGGCCAGGGAAGGCGGCCCAGGGAGGACGGGGCAGCAGTCCAGAGACAGACTCACCCTTCCTTACGAGCCACCAACTAAGCCAAGGTGGTGGGCGGCCGGGTGGGTTCCTTAATGTTCTGGGCGATCTCACCGACACCTCCTCCGCCCGCCAAGTACACACGCCCGGGAAACGTGGGCGCCGGCCATGAGAAAGGACGGGGCCGGCCCGCGTGTGCGCTTTCAAGTGTTTCCAAGTCTTTCACCCACAGCCACTGTGCCCCGTCCAGTAGGTAATTCCACGGAGCCATCTTGCATTCCCCTGGTTCCCGACTGAGGGCGCACCCTTCATCGCTGCAGAGGGCTTTGCCCACCGCACTGGCCGACGGCGCACGGCCAGGCGCTCGCTGGAGCCAGGAGTCTGACGGCCTGGGAGGCTCCCAGTCCAGCCACAGGGCCGTCCTGCAGGCTTGTCCACAAGCTGAGGCGCACGGAGCCCGGCTGGGGCATTTTACTTGAGCTTATTCATAGCTGAGTTATGCTAAGTGCTGCTGCCAGGATGAAACAAGGCAGAGGAGCAGGAGCTTACGGCCAATATTACACTCCAGGGATCGTCCTGAACGCCTTCCTATCCTTTACCTCGGACATGCACTGATGGTCAGTTCTTCTAATCTCCCCCCCGCCCCCGCCCGCTCCCCCTGGATTCCCACTGCCACTCCCCGTGATGACACCAACAGCCCTCAGGCCGGCCTCCTTCACGTTGCCATCTGCCCCCCAAGACCCCCCCAGCCCTGTGCACGACATTCCTCTCCAGCTGAAAAACTACCATCGTTGGCTCTGTTGTCACAGGACAAAGCCCAGTCCCTCACCTGGACCACATGCCTTCCACGGCTGGCCTCATCCCTCCAGCGCCGCACTGGGCGTTCCCCCCTCCAGCTGCCCCCTGCTGCCCCGAACTGCCTCTCTCCTCGACATATCCTTCCTCTACTTCTGATGTTCTCCCCAGAACCCCCCAAAAACTCATCTTTCAAAGTCCAACTCCAATGTCCTCCTCTGGGAAGCCGTCTAAAGCCACATTCCCCGATGCCCAGCCGCCTTCTGTGAGGACGTCACTCCCGTGAGTGGACTGCCCGTCCTCCCCTGGCCGCTGTGCCGGCTCCCTAGGACAGGGAGCTCTCCTTGGCCCCGGCACCCCAGTGCCGCGAGCGGAGCCTCGTGTGCATCCTGCCATCTGTCGGCCCCTCCCCCGGCCCCGCACCTGCTGGGTCCTCAGGGCGTCCAGCTCTCGCTCCAGCCAGGTCCGAAGTCTCCGCTCCATCTGCTCCCGCTTCTCACATGCGGACTGCAGCTGGGTCAGCGCCTGCTGCAGCTTCTCCACCTTCTCCACGTAGGCTTGCTTCTCTCGTAGCTGAGAGGAGGGAGAAAAGGAACCCAGGATTGGACTGGCGGTTCTCAGCACCGGGGTGGAGGGAGACCAGACTTCAACTACCAGTGCATGTGCCCCCCTACTCCTCCCACTGCCGTGAGCTGGCACAGAAAAGGGTTAGACACGGCCACCAGTTGTACCTCACGCGGCCGGGATGCTTGGAATCGAAGACCCTGCTGGGGCACCTGCCTTCAGTTATTGGTACAGCTCTGAGCGCAATCCTTGGTTACTGCTTAGTAATTATAGCATTTGCTGGCATTGGAAATGGGGTTAAGAGTTTTAATGTATGAGGAAATGCTTACTTCTACATGTTAACTGGAAATCCAGAACAAAAAATATATACACAGTATCACACTTCTGTCTATCTATGAAGAAAA